ACAAAACCCGATTGATACCCTGCAAAAGAGTACAAAACTGTCAACGTTGACACGCCTGGCCGACAGATCCGGACATTTATCAGCATCCGCTCAAGCATCAACAACCCTCCCCGCATCATCATCATCACAACATCGGCAGTTACTCCGGCCGGCACACAAGGTGAAACGCTTGCTTCGCCCCCACCCCCCATCCCCCCGCACCCGAACCTTGCTGCTGTCTGCGGGGCCCCCGTCCCAAGCGATCCTAGGGCGCAAAATCGACAACAACGCACCGACACCAATTAACGTTCGACCGCGTTGAAGCCGGGAGAGCCAGTGACGTGTCCCCGGTGCTGCGTCTCGTTGAGCATCTGGGTGATGGAGCACGGGAAGCAGCAGCACGTCAGCAAGCAGTCCGCGCTGTCCGTCCCCTGGTGAGAGCCGCGCCGCGGCAGCGAGAAGGGAGAGGGATTATGGTTGGAGCCGATTAAGAGAAGCGCACGAGGACAAGGAAAACACGGGGCTAAGAAAAAGGGGGGGGGGGGGGAAAGGACACGAGGTTGGTTTCAAGCCAGGCTACAGCAGAGCATGGCAAGTGTGACCGCGGGTTGGGGTAAACGGCACTAGTGCTGTGAGCGCTGATGTGAAGTGACAAAAAAGAAAAGAAAAATGGCAAGTGCGCAAGAATGAACACAGGTATGTGACCCACACAGAAAACTCCGGTGTCTTTCCGTCCTCCTGTGAGACACAGGCTGATGCGCCCGGACAATACACCGAAAGTGCTTTTCTTAAGACTAAGCTTGACATTGACACCCACAAGAAACAAGACGACGCACACATACGGAAAGAAGTTGGGAGCACAGGTGGAATACCTAGCAGGGAAGAAGGGAGATACAACCACCGATGCATACAACGCCATAGTTTACAAGCACCAAGCCCAGGGACACGACAAACTAACAAACTCAACCGGCGCGAATGAACGGACCTCGATGTTGTAGCTCTGGCGGACGAGGCTCCTGGCGATGAAGGGGTTGATGCACAGGCAGTTAAAGATCCAGTCCGAGTCGTCCATCTGAGTGCGGATCGTTCCGACGGCAGGCATCGGGCAGAAGAAACCGTACGAGCCTGGACGCACGCGAAATACGGACGCAGAAACAAAAAATGGGTCGGGGTGGGTTCGGTGTGACAAGTCCTTGTCATGCACACGGTTGGCCGACGTCAGCTGCAGACTCCTCCCACAGAGTCACACAACGTCGGGCTCTAGCCGGCCAGGAAGGCGCCGAAACAGGAGGGACCGGGGCGGGCCGATACAAACACGGGGCTGTCAGGACCCCCGTTAGCGTCCACAGCCTCCGTGCGGGAACTAGGCGACAGACATGCAAACAGAAGTGAAGGTCGAGCCTGTGGCGCGAAGCTTCAGCGGATTTGGTCGTTTCTGCTGCCGTCAGGCCCCCTTACAGATTTGCGGGCGTCCGGCGGAGCCGCTCGTCATACAATACTGCTGTAGGCACGAGATATTTGCTCCATCTTCCTAACGATGCTAAGCAAACTACGTAGGAAAAGAGAGAGGCAACGGGCCCATACCAACGGCAGCAAGTCAACGGGACTTCTCATTAGTGCACCCTACGAGAATGACGGGAAAATCTCCCGCGGTAAGCGTTTGACAATACAACTATATTTTGTGCCTCTGTCAATCTGTAGGTGATTTGTTCTGCCTGGCATCACTACTTTCTCAGCAAACATAATTTAAAACCAAGGGTTTACTCGGTAACGTTTTTCTAGGCGGACAGGTTTTCGGCGGTAATGTTGCCGAGTAAACCTTTGTAAAAAACAGACTCAATTGAGTTTGAGTATCAAGTGTGCACATGTGTGTCCTTGTAACGAAATCGACACAGCCCTTCGAACGGGGTACTATCTCGACATTTCTTACGATTTTGTTCTAAATCGGCTAAACAACTCACAGGTGGTGCAGTCGTCCAGGCAGTTGAACAGCCCGAACTTCCAGGGCTGTTCGCGCCGCGACCTCGCGGACTGGTTGTTCCACGAGTCGAAGACGCACCCCCTCTTCTCCGTCTCCCCCAGCAGCTGGCACGTCACGCACGGCGCGCACACCAAGCTGCACATAATATCCGCGCAGCAGTGCCCCTGGTCCAGATGGTTCGATGTAAAGCTTGGATTTCAATTGAGCGATTTTGATGTGCAGGGTAGGTTTGGGTCTTGAAGTCGATGCTCGGGACGGACTTAGATGGGTTCAAAGGGTAAACCATTTCCAGGTCAAAAGCAGCAGCGTACCACCTACCTAGCAACAGTGCTTCCAAGGAAGAACACCGATTCACGAAAACTCGCAAGTGTTCAACTTGCGGCGCGACTTGTATTCGCAGAGTATCCGCAATTACGCTACAAGCTGGGCCAGCCAGGTTGCATGCAAATGGTTGAAAACGATTTACACCACGATTTCTACGAGTTAGAACCTGAAACTTTGATTTGTGGTCGGTGCTAGTACAACCAAGACCTTGACTGGAAGCACCCTTCTTTTTTGTTCGGTATTCATGAGGTAGCCCTGTTTAAGAACAAATGGTGATCCTTTTTTTGTGTATAGGGGGACTAAAAAAAATAAAAATAGAGGGTGCTTCCAGTCAGGGTCTTGGTTGTACTATTAATAATACCCATCACATTGCAAAACTTCAGATTCCAACTGGTAACAATCGTGGTGTAAATCGCGATATCCTCATATTCCCTCAGCTATCTTGTTTATTGTATATGAATCCTTACGAGGCCATAACTTGTGATTGGAGACTAATTGAGCCCTGTAACTACCATCTACACTCTCGCACTGCTCTCAGGTACGTGCACACCAAATTTCAGATTCATCTGAAAAACTTTTTTTCATACTGATTTCAGTACCAGAGGTATCGGGTATTACGCAGTCCATTGATCGTATAATACCTAAATCAACTCAGATTCGAAAAATTCTGGTACCTGCGGTTCCCCTATTGTCTTGTACGAGCATCTGCCAATTTTCAAGCCTAAACTCGTCTAAACGGCAGCGTGAGACGCCGAAGAACAAAAGTAACCTTCTTGGCTGGCCCAGCTTGTATTACCCAATCGGTTGCCATTGCCGAGCAAACATGACACTGAAATCACCTGCCCACCTTAAAAAAACTATGTTTCCTTACGAAAAACGAGAGTCGGGCTCGCGACACGCCGATAAACGTGAGCAATCAACGCCTATCCCTTTGGCAAACTTCGCGTGTGCTGGGGGCACGCAAGCGAGCCTTAAACTTTGCAGGGGGGGGGGGTTCACAAACACATCAACCCCGGTAGAGAAACGCCTTCCTTGCCTCTCCCCACGACAAACGCCAAAGGACACAGTACACATGCCTAACAGGAAGCGAAGATACGCTACGCAGCAGTCTCCCGCTGTACCTTGATGCCGTAGCCGTGGCGCACGATGTTCCTCGCCGCACAGGGGCTCAGGCACATGGCGTTCACGCACCACGAGGACCCGTCCAGGCGATGCCTCGCCGTCGCCAACCCGCAAGGGACGCACACACCGTACACTACATGCGTCATGGGCATCATTCCAAAGAGGCCGGGGGGCCGGGGGGGGGGGGGGGGGGGGGGGGGG